AAAAAAAAAAAGGTGGAAGGATCGATTTTTTTTGCACTCATACTAAAATATAATTAGTACCCGTTTTATCCAAAAGAGTACCTCATATTCTTCTACGTGGTACCTGTTTTTAAGCGATTAGTACCTACTTTTAATTACTATAATTGAAAAAAAAATGGTGGAAGGATCGCACAGATGGAGACTCAAACCCAGGTCTGGGTGAGTTCAGACCCTCAAGACTGCATAGATGGAGACTACTTTTAATTACTATAAGTGCAAAAAAATTGGTGGAAGGATGGCACAGATGGAGACTCGAACCCAGGTCTGGGTGAGTTCAGACCCTCAAGACTGCACAGATGGAGAATCGAACCCAGGTCTGGGTGAGTTCAGACCCTCAAGATTGCCTCCTCTACCAGTCTACCGCTAGGCGATCACATTTACTTATGCGCATATTTAATTCTTAACTGCCTTGGCTAATAAAAATTAAATTGTACTTCTTGACTTAATAAATTATATTAATTGGCATATTTACCAATTTAATTAAAAAATTAGACTTATGATTTATTTTTGAATTAACCTTTTGTTCTTGGAATTACACCAATTTATGTGTTTTTATGTGTTCGTTACAAGGGGTACTAAAGGCCCAATATCAGGTACTACAGCAACATAAAAGTGGTACTATTTACTCTACGATTGGTACTACTTTTGTAAATGTTGACCAGAATTGAAACAATCCATTTTCCTTTACAAAAGTAGGTACTATTCGATCAAAAACAGGTACCATTAAAAGATGATGCGGTACTATTTTGGGCTAAAACATGCACTATTTTAGGAATTGTGATTTTTTTTTAATCTTTCATTCCTCTTCACTTGGATTGTTAACGCGTGATTTGGATGAAAAATAGTGGAAGTAAAAACATATAGGTAGAATTTGGAGTAGTCATGTATGATGATTCTATGACATGAGGTGTGTCATTCAATGAAATAAAGTGTATTAGTAATGTTTTCTCATTATTGTGTCGAGTTCATGACGAATTTGCGATTAAACTCAATTAAAAACATTTAAAATCTCATAGAAACTAATATGAGAGTGATTATGGGTCATTTAAACATCATTTGAGACCGAAATTCGGTGTTTTTATGTGTTCGTTACAAGTGGTACTAAAGACCCAATATCAGGTACTACTGCAACATAAAAGTGGTACTATCTTACTCCAAGTCTGGTATCTATTATTGCAAATGTTGACCACAATTGAATAATTCATTTTCGTTGACCAAAAGTTGGTAGTAATCGATCAAAAACTGGCACCACGAAGAAGAAGATGTGGTACTATATTGGCTAAAACAGGTAATATTTTAAGAATCATGATTTCTCTAATTCTTAATGTCTACCATGACACGTGGATCGTTCACGCGTGATTTTGGATGAAGAATAATGGAAGTTAAAACATATAGGTAAAAATTGAAGTATTCATGTATGATGATTCTATGAGATGAAGTCTGTCATTCAATGAAGTGTAATAGTAGTGTTTTCTCATTAGTGTGTCGAGGTCATGACCATTTTATGATTAAACTCAACGAAAAACATTTTAAATCTCTTATAAACTAATGTGAGAGTGATTATGGGTCGTATAAACATCATTTGCGACTGAAATTCGGTATTTCTATATGTTCATTACAAGTGGTACTAAAGACTCGCTTTGTGGTACTAAAGCACCATAAAGTGGTACTACCTTACTCTAGGTCTGGTACTACTTTTTTAAATGTTGACCACAATAGAAAATAATCCATTTTCCTTCACAAAAGTAGGTACTAATCGATTAAAAACAGGTACCACATATAAAAAAATGTGGTACTATATTTGCTAAATCAGGTACTATTTTAAGAATCGTGATTTTTCTAATCCTTCATGTCTACCATGTCACGTGGATCGTTAACGCGTGATTTGGATGAAAAATTAGAAGTTAAAACATATAGGTAGAAATTGAAGTAGTCATGTATGATGATTTTATGAAATGAAGTGAAGTGTAGTAGTAGTGTTTTCTCATTAGTGTGTCGAGTTCATGACCATTTTACGAATAAACTCAACGAAAACATTTTAAATCTCTTATAAACTAATGCGAGTGCAATTATGGGCTGTTAAATATCATTTTCGACCGAAATTTGGTGTTTCTATGTGTTCATTACAAGTGGTACTAAAGAATCGATATGTGGTATTAAAGCATTATAAAGTGGTACTACCTTACTCTAGGTCTGGTACTACTTGTTTTAAATGTTGACCACAATTGAAATAATCGATCTTGGTTGACCAAAAGTAGGTACTAATTGATCAATGACAGGTACTGCGTAGAAGAATAACAGGTAGTAGTTCAATCAAAACTGGTACCAATTTAGTAATACTGATTTCTTTAATCATCTACGTCTACCATGACACGTGGATCGTTCAAGCGTGATTTGGATAAAAAATAGTGGAAGTTAAAATATATAGGTATAAATTGGAGTAGTCATGTATGATGATTCTATTAGATGAAGTGTGTCATTCTATGAGATGAAGTGTATTAGTAGTGTTTTGTCATTAATGTGTCGAGTTCATGACCAATTTGCGATTAAACTCAATTAAAAACTTTTTAATTATCATATAAACTAATGTGAGAGTGTTTATGGGTCATATAAACATAATTTGAGACCAAAATTCGGTATTTTTATTTGTTCATTACAAATGGTACTGAAGACCCAATATCAGGTACTACAACAATATAAAACTGTTACTATCTTACTCTAGGTCTGGTACCAATTTTGCAAATGTTGACTAAAATTGAAGTAATCCATTTTCATTGACCAAAAGTAGGTACTAATTGATTAAAAAAGGTACTACGCAGAAGAAAAGCGGTACTATTTCTGTCAAAACTGATACCGCTTTAGTAATAGTAATTTCTTTATTTCTCCATGTCTGCCATGAAACGTGGATCGTTCATGCGTGATTTAGTTGAGAAATAGTGGAAGTTAAAACATATAGGTAGAATTTAGAGTAGTCATGTATGATCATTCAATGAGATGAAGTGTATTAGTAGTGTTTTTTCATGTGTGTTGAGTCCGCGACCAATTTGCAATTAAACTTAATTAAACACATTCTAAATCTCATAGAGATTAATGTGAGAGTGATTATTGGTCATGCAAACATAATTTGAGATCGAAATTTGTTGTTTTTTATGTTCGTCGGAGTTAGTACTGAAGACCCGATATTTGGTACTAGAATACCATAATTGCGGTACTATATTACTCTAGGTCTGGTACTAATTTTGAAAATGTTGACCATATTTGAAGTAATCCATTTTTTGTTCCTTCTACAAAGTAGGTACTAATTGATCAATATCTGGTACTGCATAGAAGAAGAGGTGGTACTTTTGTGGAAAAACTGGTACCATTTAACAATTTTTTTTTATGTTCATTGGAGAAGAAGTGGTACTTTTTGTGGAAAAACTGGTACCATTTTATGATTTTTNAGTTAGTACTGAAGACCCGATATCTTATATTAAAACACCAAAATTGCGGTACTATCTGAAGACCCGTTTTTATTATTATTATTTTTAAATACGAAATTCTGTATTATATACATCTCAACTTCATCCCTTACATTTTCAAATATAAATACTCATACATAGACATTGCAGACTCAAAAACAAGTTTAAGCAACCAAAAAAGACCAAAAAAATAAAAATAAAAATAAAAAATAAACAAAATAAAGCAAAAAGTAGACATTTTAAGCTTCATGAATTATCCCCAACTTTCATAACAATCATAGTCCTTCTCTTCCCAGCTAAACTCACATTTTTTTTCTTTGAAATTCGTCATTCTCAATGTTATTCAGTCTCAAATAATCGGTTTCATTCTAGCGTGACATTGCGCACGAGGCAAAACAAGTATCATGTCCAATTCAATTCAAGAATAACGTTTAAGCACTTCAATAAAAAAAAGGTCCCATATTGCACATCACGTCTTTGATATACACCACCCTTCTACAAACCTTTGTTGCACTTTTCAATTCCAAAATCAAACAAAGCCTTCCAGCATGACTTGCACTAGAAAACTGTAAATCATCTTCAAATATGTCTACAAGAAGTCTTAAAACAACAAAAAATAAAAATAGGGCAGCACATGCAGAAATTAAATCCACCAATAAGAAACTCATACTTAAAATACTTATTCCTCTTCACAAAAGAACTAGTTTGGAACACTAGCAATTTCAACAGCTACTACCCAAGAACAACAGCAATTACAAATTCTTTTCTTTCATCATTTTGAACACTAGTTTGGAATCTTTTCACAAAGAAAACCTTTTCCAACAACGTGTTTAGTCGCAATTTCCGAGGACAACATCTGATCGAAACTTGTAATTTCTTAGCATTCGACCTCAGAAATCATAGCTTGGATGGAGGAAAAGACAATTTCCTCGTGTTTTCCAACAGTGAAGTCGATGGCAGTTTCACCCTTCCCAGTTGGCGTGGATTTTTTTTTTTTGGATCCACAGCTAAAATCACTACCCCCAACAATTTCATCATCGAAAACAGAAAGCTCAGAGCCATCATTTTCCCCACTCGGCATTTCGTCAAACAGGTGGCCGGTCCCACCAATAATGGCATGATACACTTGTAGCTTTGTTCAACATGTCCGATCCAAAGGTTGAGTACCCAATTGACGTCTCCCCAACCGCCGACGAGCACTTCAAGCACTGACGATACGAAAATTATAACTTTACCCTTGCCTACTTCACGTCTCCATTACTAATCCGGTCCAAGAAGCGCGACTCGGACGGCCCGACCCACACCGGTCTATTCAACCTCTACGTCGACGAACCGAACGAGTCGTGGTCCACCCAGATTGACGGCTTCGACTACCTCATCCTCAGCGCCGGCCACTGGTTCACCCACACAACCGTCTACTACAAGCGCCGCCGCGCCGTCGGCTGCCGCTACTGCCAGACCCCCAACTTTCGCCGGCCACTGGTTCACCCGCTACTGGCCCCGTACGGGCGGAGGCGAAGGAGATCTTGTTGAGGAGTATCTGTACACGTCTCCATGGATGGATATTTTGGAGCTTGGGATTCGATTTTTTTTTTTCAGATTTGGAGAGACGGTATAGACGAGGGAGAAGTTTTTTTTCATCAGATGTGCTTTACAATTAAATTAAATTGCTAATAATAATATTAATATATATATGGGTAGTTGTGAGGAAAGAGAAAGTTATATTAGGGAGTGCAGTGAAAAAAAAAAAGTGTTGGGACTGAACAAGAAGATGAAAAGAGGAATAGGGATTTAACTTGAATTTACCATTTTATTTTCAAAATTGTTTCGACCAAGGAATTGTTCTTGCTTGAACATTGGTATCTATATTATTCGGATTAGTATCATATGTGATAGTTATTGAATGCAAAATTTCCTATTGGGGGTTACACCAAATCAACTATTTAATTAGTTTACAAAGCAATGCATAACTTATATGAAATACAAGCAAAAAGAAAATTGCTACTGAACGACACCATTATCTACATGTTTGAGTGAATAATTAACGCGACAAATTTGCAGACTTACTTGATAATAGCTTAAATATGCTTGTTCTAAGCCGTCTTTGTCCTCTAATTCTCCCATATGATTAGACAAAATATATGTATGACTTCTGATTTTCCTCTCTGAATTTTATACTACATTCATTCTTTTTATTTTCATCACAGAAAGAATTCTATTCATTCAAAGTTTCGTGGGTAAAGTCATGAATAAAGAGAGGGAAACTTGATCGTGTGCAATTGATCTTATTTTTTATGTTTGAGTTGACTTGTAGTCCCTTGGTCTTGTTGAAAAATATTGGTATTGGGGACAGAGAGTACACATACGATGCATGGGTAAATTTAGGGCTGATATCAGTTCGGTAACCGACCCGATAACTTCATACCGATACCAAACCGAACACATTTAGTTTCACTAATATGAAAACGAAACCGAACCGATAAGGATTCAGTCACCGATTTTTCGGTTACCAAAAAAACAGTTCGATTTCAATTTATACCGAACAAAAACCAAAAAAACCGAAAAAAATACCATGGAATGAAACAGACAATAGAGGCTTGAGATTTAAGATATAATGGAATGAAAATTAACAGAGGCTTAAGATTTAAGAACAATGGAATGAAAATGAAGTAATGAAGCAGCAACAGGATCCTTAAGCAACGACATAACAAGATTAAACTCAAAGTCACAACACAACACACCATATCTAATGTTCCAACTTCCAAATCCAATCACAACACAACACACCATATCCAAATCAAAACACAAATGTGAATACCAATAACAAGTGTAATAGCCCAGTTCTGTATTAATAAAAATGACAGTTTTTAGTTCCAAGTTGAACTATTTCTTTTTATTAATACTGCTCGTCTTGAGTTCCGAGCCCAGTTATCAGCTATTCAATCTCAGTTATTAATTTCGGTCCATTTATTTTAGCAATCGATTTTATTCAGTCGAAATTAATTATTTCAGTTGACGAGTAATCGAGACCGAGTATATTTTGATAAATCGTCCAAGTCAAGTCGTGTCCGGAACCGAGTCGTTCGGTCACGAGTTCGCGCCTAGTTCGAGCATAGTCAAGTCTTGTGCCCTAGTCGTGCCGAGTCTTCGAGCCCTAGTCGTGCTCCCAGCCTTACTTAGAATATTTTCTAAGTTTGAGATCTTTTATCGAACCTTGGATGTTTTCCCTCGGTCAAGTATACCGCACCTAGCTCGTGCATGGCCCCGAGATCACTCGCGCCTAGGGTTCGCGAGTTAGGGCCAAAGCCGCATCAAGTCATGCTTGTGGCATCCAAGTGAGGCCATTATTCAGCCTTGGGCAAGCCTAAGTCCTCCGCCCATGTGATGCCGAGCATAAGCCAAGGGTGTGGCCCAAGTGCCGCGCGAGTTCATGTCGAGCCAAGCCATGGCGAGTTGCAAGATATTTTTCTAAGTGTTGGCAACACTTAAATTCAGCCATGCATTAGTATTATTTTGGCCCAAGAGTGTGACATTTCCAGCCCTCGCGCAAGCCCAAGCCGCAGCCCCAGCAGTGCCGCACGCCCAGCCCAGCAAGGCCGCGCCTGGCCCTAGCGCCAGCCCAGCACGCGAGTCCAACTCTTCAGCCCAATGCATGGAATTCGTGACCCAAGTCCATGGCCCATAGCATGCGAATATTCAGGTGGATTAAAGGAGTAATTTGAGCTCAAGAATCCCCTAAGTATGATTAAGGAAAGTCAAGGGGTGATTAACCTAAGTGGGTGATGGGCACATGCATTATTATATTGCATTGTGTAAGGCCTTGTCCCCTCCACTACCTTGGGACCGACCAGAATCAGCATCTCCACCATATTTTAATGTCTTGGTCAGTCAAGATGCCCCAGCCACTCCACCAGACCTCCAAGACCATGCAAGGCCCCCTCTCCCATGCGCATATGTGTGGACCTTCCTCTTGCTCACCTTGTTCTCTCCGCCCATTTCCCCTATTTAAGGCCGTCCTCAGCTGAGTGTTGAAGCTCTTGGATACATTAAATACTTAGCACATTGAGGAAAAACAAGAGAAAACCGAGGAGGACCCTTAGCCTCTTCTCGCGCGCACAAGCCACGGACCAAGGAAGGCAAAATTACAAAAATGATATACTAAGTTGGGCGTTGTCAACAAAAGAGACAATTTGTTGTCCCTCATGGAAAAGATACACTTAGTTGGCTTTTTGCACGAAAAAGATACAAATTTATAAAAACGATACACTAAGTGTATCATTTATGCCTGACTTTGGATTGCTTATGCCCGACTTAGTGTATCATTTTTGTAATTTTGTATCTTTTTCGTGCAAAAAGCCAACTAAATGTATCTTTTCCATGAAGGACAACAAATTGTCTCTTTTGTTAACAACGCCCAACTTAGTGTATCATTTTTGTAATTTTGCCGACCAAGGGAGGTTCGCACCGTAGCTCGTTCCAGCCGTGCCTCTCAAGACTTAGCATTATCCAATTGTTGTTTGGATTTTTCTAAGTCTTTAGAGCTCACCTTGCCCAGCCATTTAAGTCCAAAGCCGAGCACAAGGACCACAAGCCGCGAGAACCGCGAGTAAACCCGAGCAAAGTCATTTGGCATAATTTCGGATTTCGAGCAAGGTAAGCTCATGCCCTTGATTTTTCCCAGCTTATACATGACATTTTAAGAATTATCATGTATAGAAATGATGCCATACACGTGAGATATATGGAGATGTGAATTTTCGAATATTTGAGCCCTAATTTCGGAAATTCTTGTACATGCATGAGATGGCCGAGTTTGATGGCTTAAAATTCCTTAAAAATCATGTGGATTACATTGGTAAAAGATTAGCACGCTTTGAGTTCATACGTTCGGTCAAGTTGGTTAGTGAAATTGAGCTATTTTCACCTCCGAACCTAAGTATATGTGCATGCATGTATTGACCAATGTTCTAGCCTCCATAGCCATGGTTTTTGATGCTTTGTATTCAGCCCTAAGTGATTTTTCATGTTCAGCATGTTCATTTTGGTGACCTAGTGTGGCCTCGTGCCTAATCGGCCCTATAAGCCCACCTCATTATCCAACCGAATTCCCTCAGTGACTTTTGAAATTTTTAAGTGTATTATGTCATATTCTGTTGGGTTGGTTCAGTAATCACCGGAATTAGTGGCCGAAAGTCCGGCAAGGACCGGCTAGGGTCACCAGCCGCGCCAGTCGCGCGTGCCGTGCCCGTGTGATGAGAATGCGGCACGGCAACTCAAGAATGCTGCGAGTCGGGCTTATCACGCGAGGAGGTTAGCACGTAGAGGAGGCAACGCGCTAGTACTCGAGGCAGGCATGCCCGGGCACGAAGGCGAAACGCGCGAAGGAGTCAGGGACGCAAGCGGCGCGGACCCAGAGGCGAAACGCGCGCGGTTTGTCACACATGGATTAATGATTATTATTTTCAAAACACGTCGGTAGATAAATTGTAACGCCGACAAAATTGGTACTATTCACGTTTTTCAACGGAATAGTAACACCACACAAAAAAATACAGAATTAACAATCTGGCTCTGATACCAGTTGTTGGGAAAAATACGCTGAAATTTCCATGAAGTCGGATTTATAAAAGTAAAAAAAAAATTGGACACGTCAAATTGATAACGGAGTTCGGTCAATAATGCCTACGTCTCCGGACTACTGCAGATATTTTATTAGGAAGAAAAAATACACTCGTGTTTACAAAACACTCTCGAAACCAATCACAATTCACAACTCAAATATGTTTACAAAACACTATCAAATTCACTCACAACTCACAACTCAAATACACACAGAAGCTAAAACTTTTGCTTCTTGCTCCCTTTCTTTTTCTCTCTTTCTCTCTGTATTTGGTTGGTGTGTATGATGTGTATCAGAACCCCTCTATTTATAGTTGAGGAATGCACTCATTTGTCCGCAAAAGCTAATCAAGTTCAGCAGCCAAATTAAATGCATTCATACATCCCGCAGCCAAAATTAAATGTGCTCACACATTTTGGTTACCTTTTTCAACAAAAGATAGCAGCATTGTTGCTGCAATTGGGGCGGCTCATTTTTCAAAATTGGTGGATTATCATGAGCAGCGAAGTCGAGCCTTCCTCGGCTGAGACGAGTGGTCGACGACCAGGAAATCGGATTCTTCAGTCCCGATTCATTTCCTTCGAGCAAATGTGCGGTAAGTCCAATTTTTGAAAATTTGATTTTATTTGGGGCCTTGAGATATGCTGATCCAATTGTCAAAGCGAGCCCTTTCTTCTCTGTTTTTCGTCCCGAAGGAGGCTTTATTAGTTGAATTGTTATGTGATGTATATGCTGAGTTGTGGCGATGCTTTGTGGTGTTATTTTTGGCCTGTTTTAGCACGTTCGTGCTGAGCTTTGTCATGTGTGTTTAACATGTTGAATAGAGGTGTTTAACATGTTCAGTTATTAAGGCCTAAAGTTGTTAGCATGTTAAAGTTCATAAAGTTTGGAGCATGAGAAAGCTTGTATGGAGTGCTGAGCCTTGGGAAAATGTTTGCTTTGCTGATGTTTTTGGTTTCAATTCAGGGAATGAAACGTTCAGTTTTGAGGCCTCGGTGTTGTGTTTTCATGCCTTAGTATTTGTAGAGAAGAGCAGGTTATGCTGTGATACTTGGCCATACTTGTTTGTTTTGTGCTGAGCTGTATTGATGAATGATTTTTGCTGCCATTATGCTCTACCTTCAGCGGTTAGATCTCAGTTTGGAAGTGCAAAAATGTATACCTCAAGTTGTTTAAGTATTAAGAGAAGTTTGAAGCTTGTGTAGGTGTTGGTTTTGTTTTGTTTTATGTTGATTTGGTGTCTATGTTTTGGGTGGATTTTTGTGCTGTTTATATGTTGCTTGTTATGTACTAAAAATGACTTATTAATGTGATTAAATTCAGTCAGTAGAGACTAGAGAGTTAGAAATTATGTATTTTTGACTGCTTATATATTTAATTGTCCTTTGGATTACTGTAGAAATCAAGTGAATTATATGGTGTTCTTATGTTGAAGTTGATCATTTCGAGCCTTATAGTTTAAAGAGAGTCGTTTACTTTGTTTGTGCTTATTTGCCTTAATTGCTTGCTTTGTGTGTTCTATATGTTTGTTAATCAACCTCAATCAAACCCGTGGTAATTAAATCCCTAATTTGTAGATTAAGAGGAGTCTAACCTTCGTCCTTGTTTGCACGTGCATTCACTGTCATCATCTGCAGGTGGGTGTTGATAAACCTTACCGTGTATGTTAATTTCTATAAATGCTTGGCTTGATAATCGATGCATGCATGTGAACCGGTAGTCTATGATAAGGTTCTCTCGGTTGATTCGTTGTCGACCACTCCTAACTCTAGCCTTTAGAGAGCTTACTCCGTTGATGGTGTATTGAATGTTGCAAACAACACTAGATGAGGAAATGAAAGATAAAAAAAAAACTATTTCTCCTGATAATCGTATTAATCTGCATGTTAATGAAGACAAATCATAAAAAAAGACCAAGAGGAGAGAGGAGAGAGGAGAGAGAACAGATCCATCAACCAAATAATAGAAAATGAAAATTATTGCGTTATAGAAGGTGAAGATCATGAGACAATTAGTAGTGATAAGAAGAAATGTACAAGAAAAAATATAAAAGCAGAAGGAAGGAAACCATCTTCAATCGTCAGCATAAACAAGGAGATCAAATTCAACATTTATTCACATTAGTTTCTTATTTAGTTATTTCTCTGTTTTATAGACAATTTTTCCTTACATTGTAAGTTGTTTGACTTTTATTTAGATTTGGGACACATCTTTCGAATATTTATGCATTGGTGTCTTCAAATATTTTTACAATATCCTCAAATGAGAAATCAGTTGCTATTACTTGTGGACGAGTTTTATATTTTTATTTCAGTACAACTCTAAGAGCTATAAGGTCGACAGATAAACGAAGTGAAGATCCATGAAGTTACTACTACAAGGGTGGGTTAAGTTCTTGTTCTTGACCTTGTGTATGAGGCCTTGAAGCTGATGTATCGATGGTAGTAGCAAGACATTAGACATCCTTCAACTGCCATCAAAAATGTATGTGTGATCAATACTTACATTAGATTTTCTCAAAGCGTTATAAAAAACAATGGTTTAAATTTATCTCTTAATAAACTACCAAACACCCCAGCCAAGCAGAAAACGAAAATAAAACGCAACTGAATATTTATTTTATGGTCTGGTCGAACCCCAGCCTTAAGGAAATTAAGATAAACATAACCACAAAGAGCAGTGGGGCCCCAAACTGCGGCTGTATGGTGAAGGCAGCGTAGGGTGCGTGCAAGTACGTAGGGCCCAGCTGAAAGGAAAAGGTGCGCAGGAGGTGGGCCACAAATGCCTTCCCCTCCACGAGTGCAAAGTTCTTGCCGATGCAAGTCCGTGGGCCCCAGCTGAAGGCCATGAAAGCCGCCTGCCCGTTGGCTGCCTTGAGGCTCCCCTCTGCAAACCAGTCTGGACGGAATTCGAAGGCATCCTCACCCCATACCTGCGGGTCCCGGTGGAGCATTGCTATGGGCAGCTGCAAAAGCACGCCCTTTGGGATTCTGAGGCTTCCCAGTTGAGTTTCCTCCTCCTTCCATCACAGGTGGATATAGACGCAGAACCTCATGCAGTATCATGTTTAGCTATAAATAAATAATAATAAGGCAAAATTGCAATTTTAGTTTGATCCGGGCCTTTTTAGTCCTAAGAATTGAACATTTTGTTATTTGGTCCTATAGTTTTAAAATTCAACGCAATTTCAGTCCCTTAATTAAATTGCTAATAAAAAATCTTTGGGTTGAATTTTTTATTAGCAATTTAAGTCATGTAATTTTAAAATTTTGTTGCAATTTCAGTCCCAAAGGACTAAAACTGCAGCAAAATATTAAATTACATGATCAAAAGAAAAAAAGTTGAAATCTTGGGATTAAAATTGCTATGGCATTAAATCAGCAGGACTAAAAATGCAATTTTGCCTAATAATAATGATTATGAAATGAAATCAAGTAAAACTTGATTACTCACAATTTCGAGTTGGCTCAAATTGTGGTCGGTGAGGGTGTTGTTCTGGCCGAGTACCCGGAGAACCTCCTCCCGCGCGCGGTCCTGCCAGTTTTGGTGAATGGCAAGTGTGATCATGGTCCAGACTAGGAGATTAGATGCCGTGTCGAAGCCCGCAAAGTAGAATAGCTTGGTCTGTGCAATGGCCTCCTCGATTAACTTCTTGCGCTTGCTGTTGCTTACCCTGCTGTTGCTCCTCTCCAGTTCGTACAATTCACCCAGGATGAAGTCAAGCAGGTCGGACCCCTCATTGGGCCCACCTGATGAAGACCTTCTGTCCCTCAGTCGCTGCTCGATCATTTGAGTAAACGACCGACGGACATCCTTTTCCATTTCCTTGGCTCTCCTTTTGGTTTCAGAGGGTGGATGGAGAAAAAATACATGCGGCCAATATTTGATAGGTATCAACTGTTTGGTTTTATTTGTTGTATATTCAACTAACACAAAATCAGTTGATTAGGAATTACTCTGAGCCAGGAAAGTTTAAGGGCTTGGAGGCAGTGTCGGTCATGATAGTGAGGTCTCTAAGGTAGTGAAAATTTCTTCTCATCTCATCATTGAAAGTGGCGTGGAACAGAGACTGGGACACCATTGTGCCGCTGTAGTCCTCAAGATAGGGCAACACATCCACAACACACGTGCCATCGTCACCTATCTTGTTTTTCCATTGATTAACAATGTTCTCTGTGCAACACTGCATTGCAGGAACCATTTGCTGCATTTTTTTATTTTATTTTTTTTTTTTCAAAATTACAAACACGAAAATCTTGTTGTTAATTGTAGCTATTACTCAAATTATGAAGAAAAAACAAAGAAAACAAATCATCACCTTCAACTTTTCGAGATGAAAGGCAGGGTTGAGCTTCATCTTGGATTGTTTCCATTCGTCTCCTTCATAATAAACAAGTCCTCCAACCACCAATCTGATTATCTTGTTTGATACCCTGAAACTTTTCTGGTAGGTTTGGTGTCTGTTTATCACAATCCTCATCAATTCGGGCTCCGTTATTATTATTCGGGCTTTGGGCCCAATCCATGCAAAGGCGTTCTTCCCTGTTTTCGTTCATGAGTGCTCATCAATTAGTTATCATCTTAATTAATGTATCATTTTCAGTAAATAGAACATTGTCACACTCTATCTTGTTTAATTTCCACGCTTATGGAGAAATGAAATGGCCGTTGTGGAAAATGAAACACTGTCTTGTATTTATTGGGTATTGACAATCATTTTATCAAGAGTTCCCCCAAAGTCTTTTTGAAAGGACAACTTCCTATTAAATTCCTAAGTGCCTTTTCATACTCTTCCTCAGTCCCCACACCTTTTTTTCTTCCTTTCAACTCCCTAATTCCTTAATTTTCTTCCTCCTAACTCCCTAATGTAAAAATTAAATCAAAACTAAAATGCTTTATTACATCATCCCACTAACACATTATTTTATTTGTTTTATCTTCCATCAACCACAACACATGATACTATTTTATTATTTTTTGATCAATCTTCTTCTACACCCTTTCCCTCTCCCTCCCGTCACTCTCCCGTCTTCCTCCATTTCCGGCAACTGCTTCTTTGCAGGTCAGTCTCTCCGGCGACAAAATCCGGCGAGAAGAACTCCGGCAACAACAAATCCGGCCAAAGAAGTGATTCCGACGTCAAATTTGTGCGGCCAAGAATTAATTTTTTCCGGCAACATTCGTGCTTTTTTCCGGCAAAAATTTGAAGTAGCAAGTAATATATGTATTATATGAGCATTTTGGAGTCCACAAATCATGTTTAATTCGTATATATTTGGTTAATTTGTTTGGGATGAATTTTGAAAATTATTGTGCATATTAACCCTAATTCAATTAAATTGATCAAAATCTCTTATTTCTTGTTTATGTATACGAAATTTATGCTATTGTTAAGTTTTGTAATGTGTTATTCACCCTAAAACATAAAAATAAGGTGGGAATGATCACTGTACCACTATTCTTGATTATTGTACCTCTGTTTGATTTATATAGTACCACTTTAATACTGTTTTGTACCATATTTTCCTGGGAAATGTGATTTTTTTTTATTATCCAATAGTTATATACATGGAAGGGGCACAAAGTGATATACTAGGGAGTTGTACGTACAAGAGTGAATTGTTTATGTTCTCTATGCACATTGGAGTCCAAAAATCATGTTTAACTCGTATATATTTGGTTAATTTGTTAGGGATTGAATTTTGAAAATTGTTGTTCATATTAACCCTAAATCAATCAAAATCTCTTATTTCTTGTTTATGTATATGAAATTGATGCTATTATTAAATTATGTAATGTGTTATTCACCCAAAAACAATGGGAATGTCACTGTACCCTTATTCTTGATTATTGTACCTCTGTTTGCATGTATATAGTACCACTTTAATTCTTCTTTGTACCATATTTTCCTGAGAAATCTGAATTATTTTTATTTATCCAAATATTGTTAGATAGATGGAAGGGGCACAAAGTGATATACTAGGGAGTTGTGCGTACAAGAATGAATTGTTTATGTTCTCTATGCACATTGGATCAACGCTTAGCGAAGTGTACGCTCTCATATCAAAGAGGTGGCCGAACGTTAATTTCGAATCCGTCGTGCTATGTTATATTGCGCCAAAGGAAAAAAAGAGAGTTACTTTGTTGGATGATGAGGATGTGAAGAACATGATTCGGTTACACTTTTGTTGGAAACTAAATATCGTAGAGATCATTGCGATGGAAAGAAATGAAAGACAGGATGATGGAGTTCAATCCTTCCCTATGAACATGAGCAGGTAATGTTGTTTTCATAATATTAATGAATTTATTATTGAAATATGGTGTAGTCGTATCATATCCTAGTTCATTAATTTTTCAACTAGTTCCATTATTTATAAATGTTTGTATTATTTTGTCATGAACGCAGGGAAAACGTACAGTCTGATGATTTGTCGGAGAGAGAACATGAGTTGTTGCAAGATAAATCAATCGATTCTTGGAGATGTTGCCTCAAAGGAGAGGGGCAAATATTCGCTGGGGCCGACGAATTTCGAAAGAGTGTAAAAAACTACGCAATTGCAAACAAGCGGTCCTTTAAGTATTGGAAAAATGACAAGCAGAAGGTCATCATTTATTGTAGCGATGCGGATTGTGAATGGAGAGTATATGCATCGTTATACAAAGGCGATCAGCAGTTTGCCATCCGGAAATGCAACCTCGTCCATACTTGTGGTGTGTCCAATCTTCGGAAAAGCGAACTCCATTTGGGTGTCAACTACAATCAAAGACAGACTGAGAGATGAACCGAACTACAAGCCTTGCACGATATTGAAAGATATTCACAAGGATTATGGCTTGGAGTTGCCTTACAAAAAGGCATGGTTAGGGAAGGAACTTGCAATGCAAGATATTCATGGAGCAGACAGGGGATCTTACGACAAATTGATATGGTATTGTAGCGCAGTGTGTGAGACAAACCCTGGAAGCATTGCCGATTGTGAGATTGACCCCGTCGAGAATAAGTTCCGCCGATTGTTCATCTGCTTTAATGCTTGCCTTGTCGGTTTTTTTAACCGGTTGTCGACCGTTGATATTTTTGGATGGCACCCACATAAAACATAAATACAAAGGCATTTTTCTTAGTGCTGTGAGTAAGGATGCCAATGACGACTTGTTCACTATAGCATATGCCGTGGTTGATGCCGAGACGGATGAAAATTGGGAGTGGTTTTGCTTGAAGCTGAATAGTAGTTTTCTTTCCTCCCGCTTACCTGTTTCTAGAAGCTTCACTTTTTATTCGGACCGATACAGTGGGCTACTTAAAGCCATCCCTATGGTTTTTTCTGGCAGTCATCATGCTTATTGTTTGAGACACTTAGTCGACAACTTTAAGAAACAGGTAAGAAATTTAAATTCTGTTATATTCTGTGAATAATTATTATTCTGTGAATATTATTCTATTTAAATTCTGTTTAAAAATGTGAATAATTCACATTTTTCTGTGAATAATTATTTATTTATTTATTTATTTATGTTTTGTAGGTATTGAGGAAATACCCACATTTTAATAAAAAAACATTGGTCTTCGGTTTTTATGAAAGCTGCGTATGCTCCTAAAAGGCAAGATTTTGATATCCATATAAATAATATTTTGACTATGATGCCTGAAGCAATGGAGTTCCTTCAGAATTCTAACCCACAGTGTTGGGCGAATTCTTTATTTGTTGGAGACCGTTGGGGGATCATGAATAATAATCAAGCAGAATGTTGGAATAACTGGGTAAAGTCGGCACGATTTATGCCTATTGTAGCCATGGTGGATCACATAAGAAAACAAATTATGACCATGATGCATGATCGGCGTGAAGGAGTGTCACGGTTCACTGGTCAGTTGTGTCCTAAGCTTGAGAAAAAAATTGCAGCTTCCTACATTGCTTCCCGCAATGTCAAAATCAGTCAATCAAGTGAATGGAGGTTTGAGGTTGTTGATGGCGACAAAAGTTGTGACGTAGATTTGCAACTTCGGACTTGTTCTTGTGGAGAATGGCAACTATGTAAGATGCCGTGCAAGCATGCATGTGCTTGTATTGAGAGTAGGTCAATGTCCGTCTACGATTTTTGCGATCCATATTATCGTGTCGGGATGTATAGGCAAGCTTATCAAGGTACTATTAACCCTATACCTAACTACGACCATAATGTGGCATCTTCCTCGACACATCTTGATTATGCCATTCATGCCCCGGATGTACGATCTCAACCCGGACGAGGGAGGGAAAAAAGGTTTCCTTCACAAGTTGATGTTGCGGTGAGGCGGTGTAAGCGATGTGGTGGTCGTGGACACAATCGACGTACGTGCAAAGAACGTATGTAGATCACTTTTGTGTTTGGCATTTGTGTTTATTGTTTTGGGAAAGTGTGTTGGAAACTGTTGTATTTTTTTTTTTTTTTTGGTCGGAATATGTATTTTGATGATACATTATTGACATATTCCAAGTATGTACTGTAAGAATATTTTGCGAGTAATGCTGCAGTACATACAAAACATCATTTACAATTCTGCATGGGTACTTAACAACGTCAAACCAGGTACTCTCCTTTTACAATATAGGTACTAGTTTTGTGGATATATGTGTGTACTCATTTTCATTCCAAAGAGTGGGTAGTAAATGACACTTTATGAGTAATATTTTTTGTATAATATACTGGCATTTTATACTACAATATAGGTAAGAGTTTTGGGAAGTTGTAATCGGTGTATTACATTTTCATTCCAGAAAGCTGGTACTAATCGATCAAAAACAGATACTTCGTTGAACACAAGGCGGTACTATTAACTTCAAAATAGGTACCATTCAATGAGTTGAAGTATATATTAATACCACTTGTAGTGTGTTGAGTTCGTTACCAATTTGTGACTAAACTTAATTTACCAAATACCAAATCTCATATAAACTAATGTCAGAGGGATTATATAGTACCAATTTGTGACCAATTTGGGACGTACTAACATCATTTGCGACCGAAATTCGGTCTTCGTATGTGTTCAATATAAGTGGTACTAGGGAGAGGATATCCGGTACTATATTGCCATAATGAGGTACTGTCTTTCACTATGACTGGTACTACATTTTGTAAATGTTGGGCAGAATTGAGAGAATCAATTTTTATTGACAAAAGATGGTACTAATCGATAAAAATCAGGTACCACGTAGTATAATGATCGGTACTATATTTCGAGAAACCGGTACTATTTTCAGAATCACGATTTCTCTAATCCTTCATGTCTACCATGACACGTAGATCGTTCACACGTGATTTGGATGAAAAAACATGGAATTGAAAACACATAGGTAGAATTTGGAGTAGTCATGTATGATGATATCTATGAGATTAAGTGTGTCATTCAATGAAATGAAGTCTAGTAGTAGTGTTTTCTCATTATTGTATCAAGTTCATGACCAATTTGCGATTAAACGCAATCAAAGACATTTAGAATCTTAAGTAAACGAATTCCAGAGTGATCATGGGTCGTACTAACATCATTTGCGACCGAAATTTGGTCTTCGTATGT